GTCACGAGCGTGTGACCAGATAGTTCGTGAGGTTCTGTTTGTTGACACATGCTCAGATGAGCCTCTTACCGTTGGTTAGTAGGGAATGGAAGAATGGGGTACAATTATAACTACCATTACTACCATTCTTCCATTCCCTACTAACCAACGGTAAGGCCTGTGAACTTGCGGTCTGCCTTGGGGGTTCTGGCAACGGCAATGCTTCGAAAGGCTGGTAATGTAGGAACCTGATTAAGAAACCTTGGGCCGTTGTTAGGGTTCCTTATATGAATCCTACTATGTGGGGGTGATAGGCCAGGGTTTCTTATCAGGTCCTACATGAGCAACGTAACGATCCCACAGGTTCGCCTGGTGCTCCGTCGACATTGCCTTCTCTTCCGGAGGAACGCATGAAGAAGTCGCACCGCTTGCTGACGCACACGTTGAAGGCCACGTCTCAAGAAAAGTCTGGCCACTGAGGTCCATAAGCCTTTTCGACATTGCAATCTGATGGAACGCACACAGGTTACGGAAAAAGATGGTGCTGGCGTGGAGTTGGAGCCAGAAGCAGGCGGCATGAAAGTGATGAAGGCTACTTGCCAGCAGTGCAGATCAGGCCTCACTTTCCTGCCGAGTTTTCCAATTTTGCTGTGGGCTGTCTTGTGAGTCCAAGTCCTCTGCTTGCCTTGCCACGAGCGTGGAGATGACCTCAGGGATCCACGCCACCAGCCCCGTTTCTACGGAAGAACCGGTCGCCAAAAGCAGGGGTCCAGCAGGCCCAATCCCGAGCGTAACAAGGCGACGGCAAGCGAAGGCGAAGCCGGAGCCAGAAGCGATTCAGTATGAGGTTTGTGTTGCAAATCTCAGGTTTTTCCCAAGCCGGGACAGCCTGGCCTGGAGGCAAAGGATCTAATCATCAACATCGATGGAATGCCCCTCCGCGGCACGCCTGAAACGGTCGGGCACCCTGTTCGACACCTGCAAATGGCCGTGCCGCTGTGCCTTTCGCGCTGATTGCAGGTCGAGGAGATCTTCGGGCGGCACTTCAGAGATGGAGTTCAGCTGACTATCAAGAGGTTTCAGAGGTGACTTCAAGATTCTGCAGTGCTGTGTTTCCCGCAAACTGGTGTCTCTAGTTCTGGCAACTTAATAGTTGCTAAACAGTAGCTTCTCACCTTGGCACGATGCCGCACACATACTTGACAACCAGAAGTATGCACAAGGTGTTGTGCCCATGCTTGGCTCACCCGAAAAAAGTCACACTTTGCAAATCTAAGCCTTGCGACCCATGAGCAATCTCAAAGCTTATAGGTAGGCAGCGCCACTGCATGCATTGTTGCAATTCTCATGCTGTGCCATTGCACTGGCTGCTTTGTCGCACTTTGGGAACATTTGGGAACCAGGTGGTTTGTGACATTTTGTGACTTTGCTTTGGCCCAGGCTGCCCTAAGAAGGGGTAATTCACTAGCTGTTTGTATGCCGTCATGGAGCCTGAGCCCGAGACGTTGGCGTCGCTGCTGGCTGACTGGCTAGCAGAGCGCTTCAAAGAAGAACGCTCTGTAGCTGAAATCAGACACGAGGCTGTGATCGCTGATATGCGGAAGGCTTTCACTCCCATTGATACCAATGGGAGCGTTGATGTCGGTGCGAGCGTTGATGTGAGTGCTGTGAGTGCGAGCCTCGAGCCCGTCGAGCCCTTGGCAGCTCAAAGCGTCATCGAAGCGGAGTCCGAGGACGTACCTCCGCCCTATGTAAAAACAAGGCTCAAGATGAAGAGGTCCTTCGCAATAGGAAATCTTCGACGTGCAGGGACGCATGGAACTCTTGGCACCTTCTCAAGCATGGCCTCGGCGGCCTCGGCTTCGGCGAGTAGTAGCCGAGTCGGTCAGCCGAGCCCTCTCTCCTTGAAAGACTCCCTTTCGGTCGCGAAAGGGGCTGGGCTTCCCATTTGGCATCCGTCGGCTATGGTGCGCTCTTATGCCTTTGAGCTATTCTTTGCCTTCCTGATCTTGCTGCAGTCTATCACCATGGCAATCGAAGTGCAGTACACTGGGCTACAGTGGGGCTTCGAGCTGCAGTACGCAGGGTATGACGTTCCAGCTTCCCAGGTATGGCAGTCTGTGCCGAGTTTTATTCAAGGGATCGACGTGTTTTTCGGCATCCTATTTACCATAGAGGTCGTGCTGAAGACTGCCGTTCTGGGGCGCAGCTACGTCAAGGACGCCTGGTCTTGGTTTGACATCGTGTTGGTGTGCTTATGGTGCTTGGATACAGGACTGTCTCTGTTGCCACTGGACAGCCCCACTCTTCGGCTGTTGCGACTGGTCCGGCTCATTCGACTGGTGAAGTTGGTACGTGCCGTCCAGGGGTTCGACTCTTTGATTATCATGACTACCGCCTTGAGGGATTCTGTGAATGCCTTGTTCTGGGTCGCCATGATCATGCTTGTGGTGGAGATGATGTTTGCTTTACTCTTGAACCAGGTGTTGATGAGCCTCGTCCAATCAGGCTTGGAGCTTTCAGCTGAGGACGAGAAAACGCTGTTCGAGTACTTCGGTACTTTTCCCAGGTCCATGCTGACCATGTTCCAGTTCACACTTGGGACTTGGGTGCCAGTGGCCCGCATACTGCAGGAGGTAGTCAGTCCATACTTCAACATTTTCTCGCTCCTGCACAAGGTCACCGTGGGTTTTGCATGCATCGGAGTTATCAACGGCGTGTTCATGCAAGAAACGCTCAAAGTCGCGCAGTCGGATGATGTCATCATGATGCGGGATGTAGCAAGACGAGAGAAAATCCATGCTTCCAAAATGAAAGATTTCTTTCGCTATGCTGACCACTCCAAGGATTATGTCATAACTCGTGAGGAATGGCAGCGCGTGATGGAAAGCACTCATGCTCAGCACTGGTTTGAAGCTCAGGGCCTCAATATGGAAGATGCCAACGCAGTCTTCAGGTTACTTGACAAGGATGGCAGCCAGAGCATCACGATGGACGAGCTTATCAAGGGAGTCAACCAGCTGAAGGGCCCCGCGCGAAGCCTTGACCTTCTTATGATGACTGAGCGCAATGCTCAGCTCCTGTCACACGTGACAGACCTCATTCGGAATCACGGCAAGAAGGCCCCCGGTTCCGGATTCCCCAGTCCTACAGGCACCAAAGGGCCGTCTCAGACAGCCTTTGGTTTTCAGGTGTAGGCAGGTGCCAGATAACTTCGGAAAGCTGTCGAACCTTCAAGAGGTTCTTCATGCCTGTTTCACCTACAACGCCGTACTTAGCCGAGCATTCATTCAAGGTGTTCGGCTACGTTTGGCCCCCGCAGGAACACGCTAAAGAGGCTTGCCTCATCTTGTCTGATGTCAGGGGCCCCCCACAGTAAGCTTGCATGCTGACTTGCCTGATCCTATCCAAATGCGACGAGAGATCATTTCCGAAACTCTTACGACACTACTGCCATGCCGGTGGCTCAAGGTAGGAATAGGGTTTGCAATTGCGGCCCACATAGACCCGTAGGTTGCAATAAGAATTATGTTGTGAGACGCTCACTCAGCCTGGGTCTTCTTAGTCGCGAGCTGGCAGCCCGGTGCTGTACCATACGGGTCGCCCACCCATGGCAGCCAATCTTTGAGATCCTGGCCCTGCCGACGATGGCGCAGCATCGTGGGAAATAACTCCCTGTGGATGAGCCTTGACCTCCCCAAATTCCTTGGCCCCGGCTGCTGTGTCCAGAAAGCACTGACCTCCGAAAAGGTGAAGGGTCTGGCAGACAGTGGCGGCCGGAAATGATAGCAATAAGTCGAGAAGAGCGTGACAATGCATGACAATGCCAATTCCAGTTCGTGACCCTGGTTTGGGTCGATGCACCATGCCTTCTGGGCCAGCCTTCGACCGAACAAGATCTGTCTGCAACTTCTATTGGCTGCCGTTGGCCATCTTCGGAAGACGCGGAGAGGAAGGGTTCGAGCCAAATCTGAAGGGGTCTGCATTGGATCTTTCGAAACCAGTCGACTCTGCGCTGCTTGCTTGCCACATAGATCTTTGACATGATCTTGTGTGGCTACAATTCGGGTTCGACTGAGATTGCGGAATTACACATGCGAGAAGTCAGATGCGGTGAGAGCCCACAGCTATTTTTCACGAGCCAGCAGGAATGTGCCGCGGCATGGTGTGATGTCGTAGAGGATTACTACCACTGGCATGGAGATGGTATGAGATGGTCACATGGGGGCGTATCGAGCCATGTGCGATCTCCGGCAGCCGCACTCTTACCCGACCTTCTGAGACATGTCCCCAGCGAGCCACTATGCGACGCCAGCAAAACGAATGTGCTCAAGCAATCGAGGTAGCGCTCCCAGGCCTTCATCGAGTACATGTCAGCTGTAGGCTTTATGTCGCTAGTTAGACTACGGGCGTAACATGCATAAGAAAAATGCGCGCGAAAAAGCCTTGTGGTTTGCTAGTGCGCGATCGAATCTCTGCCCCGAGCGCTAGCTTCTCCGGCATGATGCACTTGGTCAGCCGCAACAGGCCCAAAATGCTCCAAAGGAGAATCTGCGTAGAACTTGGTACACTGTTGTGGGAACAGGCTCGCCATGGAATCTGGCGCGCGCATTACCCCCGAGCTTTTGAGTTGGGTGCAATCAGCTTTGGCACGTGAGCTCCAGGCTTTGGAGAGAGGCCATGAAGCCGTCGTCGAGCACCTTCAGGTGCTGGCAAAGGTATCGGACACACGGCTGCAGGTGGAGAAGCCAGAACTCGAGCTTGGAGAAATAAGCATGGTTGAACAAGTTGAGCACGAACCCTCGGAGACTTTCCACTTCCAGAGCGAGCAGAGTGGTGCATCTACAGCCAAGAACGAAGTCAAAAGACCGACCACGATCAAAAGAAGTCCATCTTCATTGAAAGATTCGTTGACCTTAGATGATGGGCCGCAGAAGCCCTTCTGGCATCCAGACCGCTTCGTGAAGTCTTGTGGCTTTGAGGTTTTCTTCTCCTTCCTTATATTTCTTCAAGCTGTGAGCATGGCGATAGAGGTGCAGTACACGGGCCTGCAGTGGGGCTATGAGCTCCAGTACACGGGCTACTCCGTCCCTGCGTCGGAGGCATACATCGTTCCGTACTCATGTTTGATTCGCCCCCCCTTCGGAGCATCATTTGGTTTCTTTTTTGGTTTTTTCGGATACCGGGTAGAGCTGTTCCCGGCCAGGTTTGCGCCGAAATCAAACGGCTAGCTGCTAGCTGCACCCTTAGGAGGAAATCTTCGTACTACCAGGAAGCAGCAACAGAATCACGGCTCGAAAGCGCTTGCACACGCCCAGTTCCGTTGTGTCCGTGCCCCGCAGGCATGGCCGGGAGTGCCTGCGTTTCTTCAAGCCATCGAGATGTTCTTCGGGTGTTTTTTCTTGATGGAGATGGTTCTGAAGCTCTGCGGCCTTGGAAAGGAGTTCTTCTACGACCTGTGGAACTGGTTTGACTCGTCACTAGTGATGCTTTGGCTCGTTGACACGCTCCTCACAAATCTCCCGATCGAGACGCCTTTCCTGAGGTTGATACGGTTGATGAGATTGATCCGGCTCGTGAAACTTGTGCGATTTGTACAAGGCTTCGACTCTCTGATTGTGATGACAACGGCTCTGCTTCACTCCGTGAACGCCTTGCTCTGGGTTGCTGTTATCATGATAATGGTTCAGCTGCTGTTTGCGCTTCTGCTCAACCAGGTCTTGATGACATTGGTTACATCGTCAATTTTTGAGTTCTCTGTCGACGAGCAGACGCAGTTGTTTGAGTACTTCGGTACTTTTCCCCGTGCTATGCTGACAATGTTTCAGATGACACTGGGCACGTGGGTTCCAGTCGCTCGCATTCTGCAGGAGCTGGTCAGCCCGATATTCAACTTGTTTACCATCGTGCATAAGGTGACGGTCGGTTTCGCTTGCATAGGAGTTATCAATGGTGTGTTCATGCAAGAAACGATGCGAGTGGCACAGACAGACGATGTGATCATGATGCGGGATGTGGCCAGGAAGGAGAAGATCCACAGCAAAAAGATGCATGACTTTTTCCAGTACACGAACCGCTCAGGTTCCACCATCACCAGGTCGGAATGGAATGCAGTGATGGGAAATGCCGGTGCCCGGCATTGGTTTGCAGCGCAAGGCCTCCCAATGCAAGACCCTGATCTCGTCTTCGACCTCCTCGACCAGGACAAGAGCGAGTGTGTCGGGATGGACGAACTGCTCAGAGGGGTGTCTCAGACAGATTCAGACCATCAGTGTCACTGTGTTGCGCTGTTGCTGCGGCACTCCAGGCCCGTTTGTCACCTTTGGTGCATGTGAGCTTGAATTTATGTGGGCTGG